TGGAGCTTTCAAAAAAGACGAAATTGAGTTTATTAAAACTGGCGACAATAAACCTAAATTTAGAACAGAAAGGGAAAGTATCATATATGGATGATATTAGACGAATTTTGATTTTCATGTCACATGACATCGTGCGGTTTTGGCTCGACATCATATGATCTGGTGTCAAAAATAATAAAAGAAGATAGTGATTGATATTTTTCAAGTACTCGTATTTTTTATTAACCAATCTTTCTCATGGAATGAGGATGCTCCGCATCTGAATATATCTCTACTTTATATAGAAACAATGGTAAACATAAATATCGCCACAAATAAATTCTTTGAACGTTATCGAAAACGGGTGGTGGGGTTTCTAAAAAAGAATTTTATTTTAAAGATCAACACAAATTGGTGGCGTGTAGATAGGACTGGGTCATGATTTCTTTCATCTCTGTTTGCAACCCTGGTATTCAAATGATTTTTATTCAAGATAATTTTTGATGCAAAGAATTAAAAAAAGAGAAGAAATAAACAGTATATCAACGCCCACTCAGTATTTAACACAATTCATTAAGCACCATATTGAAGTCAACAATGAAACCACATCTAAGTGTAATATGACGATCCCAGTCCATTCTGTAATAGATCGGGTTATGGTTTATATCCCAATGAACCATATATGGTGCTCTGGAAGGTTGTGTAAGTGCAACATTTGCATGGGCTGTATTGCCGGGCCTCTGATCTGGAGGTAAATGAAAAGGCACTTCTGAAAAAGGAAGAGCGATTCCCAAAAACTCAATATTTGGGTGAATTGTATGGACAAGATCGATCTTATCTACCGCATGGGATCGATCTGGATTACGATTATAATACACCTACAAGGTTCAAATAATTGGATAAGTAAAAACACATATATTGTTCTACTACCAAACTTAATAGAATTACCTCAATCCAAACATCCGGCGGGGGGCACCGATAAATTACAGGTGATCTTTTTTGTAGGTGAGTTGGCGTTTGGAACCATACACCAACGTCTGGACGAAGCTGATGCCCACCAACCATACATATTGTATTAATATACATACACAAGTGCGGAGCTTGTGCCTCAAAGGAATTGCATAGTCTACGATGAATTTCTTCTTTATATACTCCATCAAGCTGATACAAAACTCTGTGAGAATGATAAATGACATACATAAACCTGTAAGCCAGAATAAACCTTACCATGATAAAGAGATCATTTCCAATTATTTCAGCGTCGTATATGTTGTGTATTGCTTCACACGTGTTAACGTTACTGAGTTGACTAGCGGGAAGAGTGATCTTTATAACATCTTGATCAAGATTTAGATTAAGATTTTCTTGCACTGATTCTTCTATCTGTGTTAAGATCTATTATGGTCGTTAGCTAAGCTATCTTCTCCATTACTCTTAATACCACTTTAGCTACCTCGTTACTTTTGTTTGTTCTCCTAGACCGCGTAGACTGTTGGTGCATTGGATATTATTGAAAGGATCTTCTTGACCAAAACAAAGCGAAAATAATAATACCTGCTCGGACGAGTTGAAAGTTTGAGTACTCATGTTTAACGACTTGTTGCAAACGGGAAGGAAGCTATCAAGGATTTATCAGTACTTACGTGACTACGCGTCGTTCATATACTATCGCGGACTTTAAAAAAAGGTTTCACATGAAATATTTTTCATCAATTAATTTATTTGTCTGTTTCCCGTGACCTCCGCAGGAACGATTACTACAGTACTTATAATAGCCAAATTATCTGTCTCATCGACTGCGTAATATAGTAATTCACAGTCGTTATTGACTCTTTCACTTAACACAAGCGGTATTACTTCTTAAGAAAATTATTAAATGTTTGCCACGAAGGAACACAGTGAAGCCACTACATTACGAGCCGACGGAGAGACTCGCCCCTGTTTTGACACAAGTAATAATGTTAACGCAACATATTTAGCCCTTGCTCGTTCGTAGTCTTCCTAGCAAATGATTCGTTGCGTTGTATCGTTTAAAAGGTAGCCTTCTTAGCAAATGCATCGCTCCGTTATAAAATCTTCAGCGAACGTATCGCTTTGTTGTAACTAATTAACCGTTCGTCTTCTTAGCGATTACGTCGTTCCGTTTTATGAATTAATCGATTGTTCCGTATAAGCCGTTTGATTAGGTCTTCTTCGTTTATGCCATTATCAGAGCAATTAGAACGATTTATAGTATGCATTTATTGTCTTTTCGTTCGAACCGTTATATCGAGGATTTTCAGGGACGTTATGCAGGGTGATTTATAATTAGATTTTATTAGAATTTGAGAGAACATCTCATCCAAAGAAATAATGACTGGAGCGTTCCCATTCAAACCAGCCCGAAGCAAGAATTAGGAACTCGTATTTAAGTTCTGAGCAGAGCTTTGATTTTTACGGAAACACCTGAATAGTCATTATGTGGTAGCAGTATAAGCGTCAGCGTTGAGCTGAAAATACTCTAAACCGCAATTCTCGCTACAACCCAGGCCCTATGGGGCGCTCTTCGAGCATCCGCACTAAAATTGAATCGTATATTCATATTGTATAAAGTTATTAGTGGAACTAGCAAGGCTAAATCAAATAGGTAGGTCTAGCCACGAAGTGACTGCTTTCAGCAAATATCCTAATCGATAAATAAATATGCCTGGTTTTGATATCGCTACTATTATTGATAAAAAAAATAAAACTCTTCCTAAACCATATATTAATCGTCCCGGTTTTGATATGAAGTATGCTGTAACATATATATTACATTATGGCGGAACTTATGCTAATGAACTCAATCAAATTTTCGATAATGAGAGATTATTCGATACTTTATCTACCATAAAACAGAATGAAACACCTGTTCAATGGACAATACGAGTAAGAATTCCATTACAAGATTTGTTAAATTCAGGAAAATTTAGTATATATCATCGATATTGTTTGTTTATGTCATATGGTAAAGGTAAATTTAATAATTTCCATTATCATAGGCCAAGAATCCATAAAAGTCATATGGCTATTTGTTTTGGTTGCTGGAAACTCATAAAAATTGATGACGTACAGCCCAAAAAATCATTCCATTTTACCAGACGAAGATACGTTGATCTTCTTGTACCTAGCGATTTGATGATCAGTCATTGGGATAATGAATGTGATAAACCGAAAACTGATTTCGGAAAAGCAAGGATTATACAAAGAGCTTGGAGAAATTACAAGAATAGACCTGAGTCATTAGCCACTCGAGTTTGGAATGCTTTAAAAACGGATGATTACCCCAATGATAAGAAGTTTTTAGGCATAACTCCTCAAAAGGTAAATCGTTCTGATGGTTATGGTTACATTGACTATAATGGAAAACGATTATTTTGGCATTTCAAAAGTCCTAAATTGTGGGCGGAATCCAAGAAGAGTCTTTTAACTTATAGACTATATAACTATGTGGTAAATTTATTGCAACAAAATGGATACAGATTAATTGGTGGTAGATCTTGGTATGTGATGCTACGATGGGTAGAGAATCCTGATCAATATCTTAATAATGGCTGTCGAGACTTTGCCAGAATATAACTTATTCATATATATCTATTTCAAATAAACCACCTAAAGTATTCCTGAGAGCTAGTACCTTAGACTTTATTTCGTTATCCTGAGGGTCGGTAACATTTTTTACTTTGATTTCTATATACATTTATTTTATCCGACACAAAAAAACCCCTCGGTACAAATAGAATTTATTTATTTTTCAACATCTACTTCAACCTGGATACTGATAGCTATTTCATTCGAGAATAGTAGCGAATAAGATGTTAAAACCATCCCTCTAACTTCACATCTGCTGGATAAGATCAGCTTCTCAATAATATAAGAAGTGGCAGATAGATGTATTATATTGCTGT